ACCTGTGACTAATTTAAACAAGGTCAACATCTAAAGAACAAAATAATTCTTAAGCTGACAAAATCCATTTCAAGAAAATTTGCCTATGGGCTCATGAAATCCTGAAATCCACAGACTCTCAAGACTTGCCATGCACTCAACTCTTTCTAACATTATTTTTGAGTTGAGTTAAGAAGGAATTAAGGTAAAGAAAGCGGTATATAATCAAATCCAATACGTAGCAGTTTGATTAAGAATACCCACACCAAGATACAAGTGTAAAATAGCAATACAGTTCACTTTCTGCGAATGAAGAGATTCTTTTTCTTTACATAAACCTTTCAGTAGACCTTAAAAAAAGAGTAATTTGTCTGAATGCATATATTTAGCATTTCACCTCAAAGAAAAAGGCTTTTTCACCTGCACAGGAGAACACTATTCTCCATATCACTCGCTGAAGTGACCACAGTTCCCGTTTGTCCCTGTTTGCTTTCAAGGCTGGACTGAATGGATCTTCAAATCGCTTCTCCTTGCACAAATCCAGAGTAACTACCTAACTGCGAAATGATTACCGCAGAGCATACAGAACTGCTTTTGCTATACAACATTAACTGAAATTAATGCTGGATTCAAGCTTTTTCACGTATGACCATGGAGTTATGAAATTTAGTTGCCAGTTTGGAATGAAGAACAATGCCAGTAAAAGGCGTCATAACAATTGCAACTGACAATACACAGCTGCAGGAAATGGAGGAAAAGAGAGATGATTTTAAACCTTTTTTTTCTGTAGCCTAAACTTTTCTAGGGAAAAATTGAAATAGCTATTAAAAAAAAGAAACTGGAAGGTGAAATTTTGAAACTTACTTCCTTTTCTTTTATGCTTCTTTCCTGTTTTCAAATATAGCACAAGGCAGAATTTGAAAAAAACCCAAAACTTTGAATTAGGTGAGAAAACTTAATTTTTCTATGCATTCCTGTTTCGACCTGCCCCTTTATCAAGGTCTCAAGAACTGCATAAAAGACATGTATTGGAGCAGCTAAATATGAAAAAAATCAGATTGGTGAAAAATACATAAGAGAAAAGTGAGCATGCAGTTGAAAGGGAACTTAATTAAGTAGATTTTAAAACAAACAAACAAAATCCCATAATGGAATTTTTCAGAAGATGCCATACAAGATTATCCTCCACAAATTTCTCATTAAATCAGAATTCTGCCATGGAGAACAGTAATTCACAAGAAGATAAATTCATTTTTGTTGCACAGAACAACTCATCCTTACAACACATTGCCTATAAAATGCGTATTAATTAAAGGTAGAAGGGAAAACAACAAAATAAAAACCTACCATGCTGACCTTACTGCGTAACTTCACGACTGACCTAAGATATCTAAATCTGTACAACAGCTTGCCATCCTTTCCTGCATTTCCATTCCCATTCCTGTGCCGCTGCTGGGGCCCTTCCAACCATGCCATCATCCACATCACCCTGACCTGCCTGGAAGAGTACTTAGTAGACAAGGGAGAGAGGCAATGTGGTAGGCTGGTGGCGTTTTTTTGAACAACTAGATCTTAGCAAGTTCATTTGCCCACATAGCTACCATTCAGGATGGGTACAATCTTGTGTTTGTACATTTCAATTCCAGCATAAGGATATGAGACTGTGGCAAAGCACCACCCATGGGATGACCCTGTCGGAGCACCACAGAGCAAATTGCCTGTCAAATGAAGTTAACACCTTAATGTTCTTTTCCCACTTTCTTTATGTAAACACTTGTATTACTTTTGATCAAGATCAGCCCATAGAGCCTTTGATTTCTGAGGCATGGAGACAAGATTGTATGTGTTCTATTCCTGCCTACAAGGAAAAACAGTTTCTGGTTTTTTAAGCAGTATTTGTGTGGCACATTGTACACACAGCAGGAAGAAGTATGTCACACACCCTTCTTTCAGGTACAATAAATACTAAATGAAGAGCAGCAAAAAAACACACCAAGGCAGGGAGTATCCAAAAACTCTGCAAACATTTCAGAAGCAGTGCTGACGGATTTACGTTGAGATTTCAGCTTATGGCTAATGAAAAAGTGCCCCCAAAGTAGAAAGCAGTATGTTCGTAAAATGAAAATACAATAAACACATCAACTCAATATACCCCTCATCCTCTGAATGGCCAACTGTAGTGACCACTGCCATCCACAGACTTGAACTGAAAACTCAGGCCACAGAAAGTCACATGTCCAGTGAGCACACAAGCAGGCTCTTGACTATGCCCACTAAGAGTGCCCTTTCACACCGTACAATGGCTAATGAAATGAGACTAAAGCAGCAACCTCGGTCACATTGCTTTGACACAATACAGATTTTTCTGCCTTAAAAACCTCCAGGACTTTATTTCACAAGTCAAACATTTTAACCTTTCACTCTGGAGCTTCAAACTCACTGAAATTTGGAGATGATAGTTTGGTTCCTCTCTAGGTAGGTGTGCCTGACCAGTGTGCCCGTGTGCTTGCACTAACCACTGGTCACCTCCTGAGAGAGAGGGTGCTTCACACCATTCAGTTCTTGGCAATGCACTTCTTGAAAAAAAATCCCAGTCTTTGCTGCCAAGGCAATAAACCCGGTATTTTCCCCTCTCACCACCACCTCTGCTCCACCAAGGCTTCCCACTGCCAGATCACCTGTTTCCTGCCAAGTCTGCAGCCTGGGTCAGGAGTTCTTTCTTACCATCCAGGACATGATGGGGCTGATTAAACCCGGAAGCTCAGAGCAGCTGAAAACCTATGTAATAGCTTGACAAAGCCACAGAGAGCTAGCGAAGCCTTCTAAAAGTTTGACAGAAGAAAATTTACGTGGTGGTTTGGATAAAGGTTTGACATTCCGGGTTTACAATTCTCAAATGATAGACAGAAGAGAAAAAGGGACACATGGCTCGCAGTACGTTCTCCTAAACCCAAACTAACCAAATAACTTTTTTCATCATTTAAAACTGATTCTTCATAATGCGGTAAATAAGAACTATATGAGAAGATTAAGGTATGTGCAAAGTTATAGTCATATACTCTAGCTCTCATCCAAGAAAACATGTTTGAACAAATTAATGAGATTTAAGTATGTGTTTAAATGACTTTTTGAATCAGTGCTTCACACATACAGTCTCATATCCCGTCAGTAACTTTTTTTTCAGAAAAACAGTTCAGGAATAAATGATTCAAGAAAACTATTTCAAGGTCTAACCCCCTAATATTCTCTCTTAAACCATGCTTCAAAACAAAGTTATTTTAAAAACACTGACTTCTCTCAATTTTTTTGTTTTGTTTTGGTTTTTTTTTAGAATAAAGTTATTAGGAGGCAAACATCACACACTGTTAGCATGTTAAATAAAAAGCAGTTCATGTAAGTAGTGAAGTAAGATTAAACCCATATTTAAGGATAAGTACATGCACAGAGAAACTATAACCAGCAGAAGTAAAATAGCTCTAAATTAGATACAGATGTGACAAGGAAATTAGAATGTGAAACACTGTTTTGCAAACTGATAACCATGCAATTAAGAGAGATGCAATCAAGCACATACACTTTGACCACTTCACTACTTTTTAGAAACTATAATAAATCCAGTCAAATCATCACTGAACCAGGCAAAAATAGCACCACCTCCACTGCTTATATTTTTTGAGCTTTGTATTTCCAATATATATTTCCATTCTAGGAAACAACAAAAAAGATTTTTTTTTTTTTTAACCTTGATTTGTTCAAGAAAGCTGAGGTCAAGTTCATTCATATGTAAATTTAACAATGGCTCATAAATGTTTTGAAATTAATTCAAGGTAAAGTTTTACTTGTATATCTATCTGCCCCCTTCTCTGCTCAGAATGAATTTAAGTAATTTTGTATGGTTTTATAAGTATCAAAAAGGAATATTGAACTGAAGTGTAATTTGATTTGTTTGCAAATCCCTTTTGAATTGCTTTATGATGCGTAAGCGCATGCAGTTTATTAGAAAATAATAAGCAAAGAAGGCAAGCCAGGCAAGAAGCTTTGCTCACTTTCAAAGTCAAGGAAAAAATTTGGCCCCTGATCAAGCTCTGTGCAAGTGAGAACTTTTAAAAGATTTCCCATTTGGTTCCTGAAAAATAGAAAAGGAAGAGAAAAGGAGTCCTGAGTGAATAAATGATTTTAGAGACAAGGACTTGGACAGATTGGTTGTGCTGGAAAACACACACTGCAAGCAATCAGATTTTAAAAAGATTTTCCTCAGTTTGCTGTTAAGTCAGGGAAAAGATTCTCTCGTTGTCTTGTAGTTGTTTGAACTTACTTTCAAAATCCAGGAAAAAATGTGGATAGTTTTCAATTTCCCTGGTAAGGACCTTAAGAAGATTACCCATCCCAGCAAACCTAGTAAATGCAACAAAATCATAAACAGTTATGTACGTAAACTTAGAATATTACAACTAAGGGCTTGACACAGTCTGCACCATATATCAAACATTTTGGCAAGTTCTGGACCATAAGAAACATTTCGATGGTCATTTCTGTGACATTTATGCATGGGGACAAAGAGAGTAAGACCTTGGATAAATACAGAAATAATTCTATTCAACAAATTGGAATTTAAACATTAGTATAACATCACAGAGTACAAACATATTTATGAGTTTATTTATTTATTTAGGAAGAGAAACAGAACTATATTGGTATTTGTAACTCCTCTAAATCGCTGGACTCAAGATTACTGAATACCATTTCAGAGTAAAAAAAGAGGCCTTAATCCTTGGTTTGGATTCTTTAGCACAAATCCATGTTTTTTCATGAACTCAATTTAAGGAAAAAAAATCTAATTGTTTCTAATCAGTCAGGTTTTATAAAATATTACTACAAAAATCAATCAGAAAGAAAAGCTAAAAAGCTTGCTCTTACTAACTTTTAAAAATGTAGGTATGCATTAAAAAAAAAAATAACAAAAAGAAGATGTTCAAACTCTATCGAGGTTCAAACTCTACCTTTTTATCTGTTATTCCTATCTTTCATCATCTTGGAAGCCTTTGCATTCCAAATTATTAAAAACTCCCAAAAGGAAAAGTGACCAATTCTCAAACCAGAAAATCTCTATAGAAGATAAGAAGGAAGGAGATTTGAAGAAAAGTTTTTTACCAGTACAGTCCTTAGGAAGATACATTATTCTAGAATTATGTAAAAGTATAGCTTTCTTGGGCAAACTTAAACTTTTTCTCAGAAGAGAGAAAAATTAAACCATGAAAAGCACATATAAGGATAAAGAGGTCTGCCTGAAGGTATGTAGAAAAATGTAATTTTAGATTTAAAACTCAGATTGAAAACTGATTTTTGCCTCAAAGATAAATATTCTCAGTACTCTAAACCATGGCTCTTGGGACTTACATCTGATGCTCATCTATTTTTCAGTTTAACTTTTTTCCCACTTACCACACAAAAAAAAATCTCTAAGCACGTACATGCCTGACACTCCCTATGAGGAGACAAAGGTTTTTTTCAAATTCTCCCCCAAGCATTACAGAAGAATAGTATCATCAACCCTAATTTCTATATGGATATAAGGGATATATTTCTATAGCAGGAAAACCTAGGAAGGTAATGTAAGGCTTGGAGACTTCCAATCAGGCGTAGTCATTCCTTAAGATGATACAAATGTAATCAATAATCCGTTCAGAGCATGCAGCTTCATGTAAACCAGGTTTTTGTTAGACAAATGGCTTAGTTATGCATTAAATACTTCTTCAAAATTTTCTCTCCAGAACAAATCCAGTTAGCAGACTGTCAAGCCCTTTACAATTAGCAACATCTTGCATATTGAATTGCACAATATTGAAACATGAAGAAACATTCTCCATTGTTCATAAAGTTACATCCATTTATAAGCAGGAAAGAAAATTACAGTTTTACATTCAAAACAAGATTTGCACTGTATGAACCGAGTCTGACTTTCTGATTAGCCTACAAAGGGGAAAAACATGCAAACAGAGCAAAATAGATTTTATACAGCATTAAACCTTGTATCTTCAGTAATTTAACATTTTCATCACACTGATATAATACATTTTATCAGCATCAGGTAAAAGGGACAAGATAACGTGCATACACTTATTTTCCTTTTCATAACCTTGACAGAAACAATTTATATTATTACAGAACACTATCACAATCTAAATTACGGACTCAGTTTGGAGTCTTCACTTTCAACTCATTTTAAGTTGTAACTTACCTCATTGCTTTCAGTCTTCAGAGAGCATCCAACCATTTCTTCTACTGCCAAAGTTAGCACGGCATCCAGAGACTGGTTTAGCTGATAGCGTGCTTCAAACAGCAAGGAAGCCTTTTTGCCAAGAACCTGAGGATATGCTCCCTCATTAGCATTGAGTAGCTTGAGGTCATGTGCCCCAGCTCTGGTTTCTGATCCTTCTTACCAAAGTACAGCACATCATGGCTCTGGAGATTTCTGAGTACTTTTCCTGAATTTTTACTGTATTTCATAGATTGTTTTTCTTTTTTATTCCCCTCTCCTTCAGTCCCTGTGTAGAAACTGATTCAGCTGTTTAGGTCACAGGTGTGAAACCCAAACCCTGCCACAAACTTTATACCCATGTTCATGGTCAGCCTGCATTTTCCAGTGATCTCAAAGCCACTGGTTTGACACCATCTATTTCCAGTGTTCATTGACCCAAAAAACAGTGATATTCAACATCAGTATCTAGAAGATATGGTTCAGGCAGCTGCTAAACACGTTTTACTTCTTCATGATTTGAAATACTTTCTTTATGGTTTCCTAAAACCTAAAACAAACAAACAAAAAACTAAAAGCAATATCTAGTTCCAAGAAACTTTCACTTTCACTTCAAACTGTAACTCCTCATTCAACACTAAGTTTTTAACTCCCAATTAACAGGACAACCTTCATTTTAAAGGAAGTGCTAACAAACATAATTCCTTGTCCCAAACTAAATTATTTTATTCTGCTTCCCAGTACTTGCATCTTCCAAACTGTCTTCCCCTGAAAACTCTAATAATATATTTCAAACCTCAGGAACTCCAAGTCACTTCCATGATAATTTTTAATGAGATTAAAAGTAACTAATGACAAATTCTGAGCAGGTCAGTATATACACTGTGGTTGCAACAGAAATCATATAAACAGCTTATGCACAGAAGCAAGTCAGGAAGGTTTAACTTAAGAGCATAAAATTCCATTTCATTAAACTGGGAAGCATTTTATTTTACTTACTGTAAAATCAGTTTAAATTTTGAAAGGAGACTCAATGCATATATAAAAATATTGCTGTTGCAGCACTCCTAAATGATAGTGGCTTCTCTTTAGTGTTCAAATCCCTTAAAATTCCAACTTTTAACAGTATGGTTTTAAAATGATGACATGCTGACATGACAATGGTGTTTGCATTTTCATGTTTTCTACTGTTTTCCAAACCATTAAAGCTTACCCTAAGATACTACATAAGCATATAGAAAATACTTTCTAAGCTACTGTTGACAGTTTAAAGCTCATTTTTGATGCTCAACATTCAATTAGTGGCACACAGATATAAATAAACTGTAAAACCAGTAATGAACAAGACTGTACATTTAACATTTTATGTTTTATATACATTATCCGATAGCATATTTAAAAATGTTGTGCTTTGAACAAAATAACACAGGCTGTTTTCTAACACATCACTTTTTCCTAAAATTTCATTTAGTTTTGACATTCTAGAGTCATTATCTAGGATGGGAAAATACAATCCTTCTCCCTCACTAAACCAATCAGTCTATTTTTGGACTGCGATAAGTAAAATAGAACCCCCCCAAAACAAATCAAAATGCAACCCTTCAAATCTGCCATGGATTTTATATACATATATTGAAAATATACCGAAATAATATTTATTATGTACTTAAATCCAGTTTTGAAAAGCTAGTAAATGTTCACAAACTTGGTATTATCACCTAGACACTGCATGTCCAAAGCTAAGTACCATCTTACTTAACTCTTCTTTAAAACCTTTTCTTACACAGTGTTCAAAGCAATTATATAACTTTGAAGAGTGGAGTGTTCTGTTATTTTAAATGATAGCTACAGTACTATACAAATTGCTAGTGAAGTACTAATTTATTCCTTCTTCCTTTACAGGACTAATTTACTCAGTACAAACACAAAACCATCGGCAGCACTGGAGCTACACTGAAGGTATAACAGACAGACAAAGCATTTAAACCTCCTGTTAGTGAAAACAGACACATTCACCAGCTCAACCCTTTCCTCCTCATCAGTGCTCCTTTGCCAGATACTGTTTCCTAAATCTGCCTGCTTACATAAACATAGTCTAAAAGGCTTTTGTCAAAATGAGCTGGATCAGCAAATACCTACTGCTTAAACTCATTCAGATCATCCTAACGAAGTGGGGCTGGGAGTGTTCTCACGAGCAGCTCCATTGGGAGTTTTGGGAGAAACAGAGGCTCCCAAGTTCAGGAGAGGCAATGAATGACTAGGAATGATAACTTCTAATGGCACATCTACATGGGCAGAGACAGGCATCCAGCTCACAGCCTGAGGGAACTGTACTGTACTAAGCATTATTGGTGTCATTAAAGCAATGGACCTGACCTTACTGCACGAACGATTAACTGTGGTTTCAAAAAAAATCAGCATCTGAACTCAAGATCTCTCAGATCAAAAGCATGATTCCAAATCGCTAGGATGCTTACCTATAAAGCTTGCTGAGGTGCTTGTAAGGAAATAGCAAAAGTGCAAGACTCAAAAAACTGTTTTATTCCATTAAGGAATAAAATAAAAATGAACAAAGATTAAAAAAATGCAGAAGTTTAACAATGAAAATCTACTTTGTTTTCTGAAGGAAACCCTGTATAACTCACTGTTCTATGTTTCAGAGAGGAAGGATGATATAAAATATCTTTTTTAATTGCATTTTCCAACTCTACTACCCATATTTTTGCAATAAACATATTAAAGCCACCTAATCTCTTAAAGTATTTGTGTAAGATTAGCTTCAAGAAAACTGGAATGCTGCAGTGCTTGGAGTCATACACAGAGTGAAGGGACAAGCAGAAACTGCAGCACTTTCATGTGGGTGCCCCTTGCACACATCCCCTACTTCTCCCTTTCATCATCAGGACCTGAATGGAGTTCTGCAAGGCTCAGGCAACAGAATGGGCTTCATCATAGGTAAGAAACTGGGAATATTATTACTGTGAAAAGTGCAGCTAGAGTCAGGAACAGTCAAGGAAGCACTTCATGTTCACTGCAACACCATAAAACCACTGGAGTTAGGGGTGTGGTTATCTAGATCTCATACCAGGAGCTCTGTCATTCTGCACAGATGTTTGTCTAAACTATTCTTAACACCTTGA